TTAGTAGAGACGGGGTTTCACCATGTTGACCAGGATGGTCTCGATCTCTTGACCTCGTGATCCACCCGCCTCGGCCTCCCAAAGTGCTGGGATTACAGGCTTGAGCCACCGCGCCCGGCCTGAAGTTGGGTTTTAAAGCAGTGAGTGGCTCATGCTCTTTCACTAGCCCTTAGCAATGGGGCTGTCTGTGATCCCAGACGTTTAGAAGCAAAGTCAGCCCTCTGTATCCACGGGCTCTGCTTCCATGGATTCAACCAAGCTCAGATCAAAACGTCAAGAATAAAAGGATGGTTGCATCTGTACTCAACACATACAAACTTTTTTTCTGTCATAATTCCCTAGGTAATACAGTATAATAACTATTTGCACAATATTAAGTATTACGTGTAATCTAGAAATGACTGAAAGCATACAGGAGTATGTGCATAGCTTATATGTAACACCACACCACTTCATAACAAGGACTTAAACATCCATGGGTTTTGTTATCCTGGGGGTCCTGGAACCAACTCCCCAAGGATACCAAGAATGACCGTACTTGGAATTACAGGGCTCAACACCACACAAATGACTATGATTTAAGGTTAGATCTCACTGGAAAGCTTTCCAAACACTAACTACTAATGGTTTAGTTAACAAAAACAACAGGATATGCAAAATGTTTCTGTCTCCTCAAAAGAGCTAGAAGAGCGCTGACGGCTCCTTGTGATGGGATGTGAATGGGGTTCTCAGATCTGCTGCTATAAAGCAGAAGGCAGAGCGCTTCCCAGTCTCCGCCTGCAGAGACCCATGGGCTGGCCACGCTACCACAGAAGCCAGCATGTGCTGGCAGACCTCTGAAGTGGTGCCCAGGGTCCCTGTCCACTGAGGAGGCTGAGGGAGGCAGATGCAAAACTTCCTGTCAGCAGCCGGGGATTTGAGGAGTGAGGGAAAAAAACACAGGTGCATTTGAGAAAATTATTATTATTTTTTGAGATGGAGTTTTGCTCTTGTTGCCCAGGCTGGAGAGCAATGATGCAATCTCGGCTCACTGCAACCTCTGCCTCCCAGGTTCAAGCGATTCTCTTACTTCAGCCTCCCGAGTAGCTGGGATTACAGGCATGCGCCACCACGCCCAGCTAATTTTTCTGTATTTTTAGTAGACATAGAGTTTCTCCATATTGGTCAGGCTGGTCTCAAACTCCTGACCTCAGGTGATCCACCTGCCTTGGCCTTCCTAAGTGCTGGGAATACAGGCATCAGCCACCACGCCTGACTAAGAAAATTATTAAAAAAAAAAAAACCAATAACCAAACTCAAATTAGAAAGAGCTGTACGGGAGCAATAGCTGGCACCTGTAATCCCAGCACTTTGGGAGGCCGAGGTGGGAGGATTGCTTGAGCCCAGGAGTTTGAGACCAGCCTGACCAATATGGAGAAACTCTATGTCTACTAAAAATACAAAAAAATTAGCTGGGCGTGGTGGTGCACAACTGTAATGCCAGCTATGGGGAGACCCCATCTCTACAAAAAATACAAAAATTAGCTGGGTATGGTGGCACGCGCCTGTAGTCCCAGCTACTTGGGAAGCTGAGGCTGGAGGATGGCTTGAGCTCAGGAGGTCAAAGCTGCAGTGAACCATGATTGCATTACTACACACCAGCCTGGACAAAAAAGTAAGACCTTGTTTCAGCAAAAAGAGGCTTAACAAGATTTTAGGTGAGGTGCTTTGATAGTGGCCATAAGGCCACCTGACTTCCATATCCATTTATGAATCATGCAGCCCTGGTAATTCTTCATGTTTTTTTTTTTTTTTTTTTTTTTTTTTCTGTTTTTTTTTTTTTTTTTTTTTTTTTATTTTTTTTTTTTTTTATTGTATTTTTTTTTTAGTTATTTTTTTTTTTTTTTGAGACTGAGTCTCACTCTTGTTACCCAGGTCAGAGTACAATGGTGTAATCTCAGATCACTGCAACCTCCACCTCCTAGGTTCAAGCGATTCTCCTGTCTCAGCCTTCCAAGTAGCTGGGATTACAGGGACCTGCCACCATCCCCTGCTAATTCTTGTACTTTTAGTACAGACGGGATTTAACTATGTTGGCCAGGGTGGTCTCGAACTTCTGACCTCAGGTGATCCTCCCACCTCGGCCTCCCAAAGTGCTGGGATTACAGGCCTGAGCCACCACCTCCGGCCTATTTTATTTTTTTGAGACAGAGTCTTGCTCTGTCACCAGGTTGCTCTGCAGTACAGTAATGTGATCTCAGCTCACTGCAGCATCCACCTCCCAGGTTCAAGCAATTCTCCCGCCTTGGGCTCCTGAGTAGCTGAGATTACAGGTGCATGTCACCATGCCTAGTTATTGTTTGTATTTTTGGTACAGATCGGGTTTCACAATGTTGGCCAGACTAGTCTAGAACTCCTGACCTCAAGTGATCCGCCTGCCTCGGCCTCCCAAAGTGCTGGGATAACAGGTGTGAGCCACTGTGTCCTGCCAATTCTGCATGTTTCTTAGCTAGTGCAGCAGGTCTAAACATGCGCAGGTCTCTACAGTTACCTCTTTGGAAATAAGAGATGAAGGTCTGCCATCTTTAGAGCTGAACTGAATTTAAGAATTTAACATCAAGCATCACGTGAGCTGAGCATGAGCGAAAATTTCTTTGACGGACTTATTTCAAACATGGCTCATCTCTCAAGCCCTCAAGGTGCTACAAATGGTTAGGTCCGACTCCAGGTGGACTCACCTTGACTGCAAGCCCTCTAGGATTCTTTCCCTACCCCACATACCCTCCATTCAGCCTCCTCTCCTCTGCCTTTCACCCTGGCTTCAGTTCAATTTACATATTTCTTGAGCACCTATCACTGGCAATCCTTCCCCAGACCCTGTAGATAGATGAACGAGCAAGTCCTCACCCCGGAGGAGCTTCAAGTGTCACTGGGAAAGCTAGAGCCACCCACAGGTGGTTTCAGTGTCTGTGTGAGTGACGTGACAGATACTGAGTACCACTGGGACTCCAACATTTGGAAGAGGTGAAAGAAACCCAAACTGAGTCTGTGGCCTCCACGTGGAAAGGTACCACTGGATGCAGGATGTGAGCCGTAGTTACTTGAAATGACCAGCGTTCCTTTGGGGTGATGGAAATACAATATTTAATATTGTTCTGTGTGGTTTTCTGAATTTTATTTGAAAACGAGCAAAGGAAAAAAAAAGTGGTGCCAAATAATATTTTAGCAGAAATGGTGGCGCAGACAGGCCCAGCCCCAAGTAAGGGGCAGCAGTCATCTCCATCAAAGGCAGCGGGTCCTACTGCAGGTTTCACACAGACAGCAAGGCTGCCTCAGAGGGGTCTCGGATGAATGGAACTCAGAGTTCAATAGACCTTTCACTAAGGACAGAGCCTGACAACAATGGCGCAGTGTGGCTTTCTGTAGGGTACAGGCACGCTTACCACTATGACACTGGTAGGGGGAGGGGAATGCTAGGGCTCAGACATTTGGGGACAAATTCACAATGTGGGTGGGGGTGCTTCCCAATTATTTTTTCCTTTTGTGGTACCCCTTCAAAATATTTCAGTGAAGATATTCAAAACACACAAGAGAAGCACACAGAAGAGAAACCTCACACAGCTGGAATGGACAGCAGCACTGGAAAGGTAGGGAAAACCCATGTGGCCCTCCTGGGGGTCCCCATGCTCTTGACCCTCACTAACACTTCGTCCCTGAGTTTCAGAAAGGATTAGGGGACTGGTCAGGCTTGGAGAGAAACAGTGAGAAGTAAACTCGGATTAAATTCCTTACAAATATAAACGTTACAGCTTAAAGGAAGATCTCGCATTAATCATGGCTAAAGCATAATGCTTCTACAAAATCCCTTTAACACAAGATAATCCCTCAGCAAGAAAACAAGAGATGTAAGTTCTTAAGAGAGGAAAACCTGGCTGGGTAATCTTACAGCCACCACTTGATTCTCTTCACAGCAAAACAAACTGTGGCTCTTACAAGGCACCTGCCCTGCAACTCAACCACCGTCAGATGAGCGGCAAATGTGCAGCTTCTAGTGGACCTCAAGCAGAAGCTTCCAGTGATACCTCCTCACCCAGTTCAGACCAGTTCTTCACCATCCTAAAAGGAAGACTTCCTCCTTTTCACAACAACCTGTCGAGAAACAAATCCCCCAAAGTAGTTTGGAATATGACTTCAGCACGCACCTCTGCAGCTAACTTCTGGAGCACGAAAGTTAACATGAAATCATTGGTGTTGGCCAGGCGCGGCAGCTCACACCAGTAATCCCAGTACTTTGGGAGGCCAAGGCAGGCGGATCAGGAGGTCAAGAGATGGAGACCATCCTGGCCAACAAGGTGAAACCTCGTCTCTACTAAAAATACAAAAATTAGCCGGGTGTGGTGGCGCGTGCCTGTAGTCCCAGCTACTGGGGAAGCTGAGGCAGGAGAATCGCTTGAACCCGGGAGGCGGAGGTTGAAGTGAGCTGAGATGGGGCCACTGCACAGAGCCTGGGCAACTGTCTAAACAACAACAACAAAAAACAAAACAAAACAAAACAAAATAAAACAAAAAAAAACTGGTGTCACTCTGGGTGTTTATAAACACCACCATTTAACCGGCAGCCAGTGCCAGGTGGCCCAAACAAAAAGGAAAGGTACTGAACACACACAACTGGGACAGGGCTGGGGATGCGGCCCTCACGCTGCCACTGACGTAGGTGGGGCAGAACCCTGGCCATCAGGAACCAGAAACCAAATTCGCTCCAGTTTCAACTCCTGGTCCCACCTCAGGGTAGACCTAAGCATGGCTAATAATCACTGTTCCATGAATTAAGGGCCAATTATTTGGTTAGGAGTATCACTGAATACTGACCTAACCCCCCTAAATCTAGTATTTTTTTTTCTGAGATGGAGTCATGCTCTGTCATCCAGGCTGGAGTGCAGTGGTACAATCTCAGCTCACTGCAACTTCTGCATCCAGGTTCAAGTGACTCTCTTGCCTCAGCCTCCCCAAGCAGCTGGGACTACAGGCTCACGCCACCATGTGTGGCTAATTTTTCTATTTTTAGTAGAGACAGGGTTTCATCACGTTAGCCAGGCTGGTCTCGAACTCCTGACCTCAGGTGATCCACCCCACTTGACCTCCCAAAGTGCTGGGATTACAGAAGTGAGCCACCATACCCGGCCAATTTCAAGGGTTTTTAGCAAGTTGGAGCAATTCTTTTCTTTAGAATTTAGTTGATACAGTACTTAACAGTGATGGCACACACATTCTCTTCTACTTCTCCGGTGAGGCTGTGCCACAGAGCGTATGGGAAGTGGAAAAGCTCCTTTCTACAGTTGCCTTTCTTATTCAAGAGTAAGTATGCTGATAGCTTTGTTAAGCCCTATCCTGTGTAGCTGTTAGATACGCCACGCTTACAGGCACGTAGTACATTCTATGTCCTTGTACTTTAACCAAGATACCTGTGCTGGACGTGCTCACAGGCCTGTCCCAACTCTCCATTGCTTTTATCTGTTTAAAAGTTTTAAGGCCGGGTGCGGTGGCTCACGCCTGTAATCCCAGCACTTTGGGAGGCCGAGGCGGGTGGATCACGAGGTCAAGAGATCGAGACCATCCTGGTCAACATGGTGAAACCCCGTCTCTACTAAAAATACAAAAAATTAGCTGGGCATGGTGGTGTGTGCCTGTAATCCCAGCTACTCAGGAGGCTGAGGCAGGAGAATTGCCTGAACCCAGGAGGCGGAGGTTGCGCTGAGCCGAGATCGCGCCATTGCACTCCAGCCTGGGTAACAAGAGCGAAACTCCGTCTCAAAAAAAAAAAAAAAAAAAAAAGTTTTAAGCTGTTAGCCAATTTCGAGTTTTAGTTTAGATTGTGAGGTCTGGCTCCTGCCAACGGAGATCAGACACAGCAGTAAGGACGACCCCAAACTCATAAGGGATAAATTTGTCTGTTTTCTTTTGTTCACTGTACTCTCGTGGAAGATGGCTAGCGAGGGTCCCCTTCCTGCAGTCCAGGAAGTAAAAATTGCATTGCTGAAGGATCCTTTGTTTCAGTGCTGATTTTTTCTTTGTGGGATTGAGCAACTATTTTAACAGGGGGCTCATCAGACAGAAAACCTCAGGCATCAGAAGACCCAAACTTTACAACATAGGCTGACTGCTCAAGTGGCATGAAAGACCTTGTCAGCTCTGTCACTCTAATTTATGTGAGTCCCAATACCCAAAGAGTGCTTTACAAGTTCAAAAACACAAGAAAAGTGTGCTAAGCAACCCTGGCCATTAAACCTGAGTCAGGGGATCTTCATGCCAATCCACCTCTTTCTACAGCAAAGCCCAGGAGCGCCATCGACCTCCCCAGACTGTTTAAGAGTAAAGGAGGTAACTGGCTCTACCCGAGGTGGTCTGGCATCTTCCAAAGGAGGAAGTGGACTCACATGAACTGGTAGAAGCGCGGCCACCAGCAGGGCACACGGCCACACACGCAGGAGGGTCACCGGCAGGGCACACAGCTACACACGCAACAGGGACACGGGCAGGGCACACGGCCGCGCACGCAGGAGGGACACGGGCAGGGCACACGGCCGCACAGGAAGCAGGGACACGGGCAGGGCACACGGCCGCACA